GAACCTGTAAGTCCAAGATTTGGATGGACGGTGCCTTTAACGTGTCTTTGAAGCTTGTGCGGTCGCTTTTGACACTACAGGAAGTGAGCTGGATTGTCCTGCACACTGTATGTGTGATTTTTGCACTCCATATTCGCTAGTACTGCATGTACAGAATTTTTTTCCCGGCACTCCGCCCCAGATTCCGCATCAACCAGCTTCCATTCGATCTGTGCCGAGCCGGGTACACGTACCCCTCCTCTCTCTATCGCTGACTCACCCACAGTGCCTGCAACATTTTTGAATTTTCCGTGGCAGAGGACCGGAATTATCTTCTTCAGAATTTCACGAGGTGGGTGCCTGGTCTCTTTGTTTCACTACCAAATACAGATCAGGCAACTATTTATCAATCTCCACTCGCTGTTTGGGCGCGTTGCATTATATTGCGTTATACACGGCCAGGATAGGCGAGAGTGTTCAACCAGTAATTTTGTTGACATGGCCCACACGAGCAGCAGAGCCCGGTATGCCGAAATCGGGCCTGCCGTGCCCGATATAGCCAAACTTGCCAAATCGAACTCCAGAGAACCAAGGCAGTATGGTGGTGATGAAAGTTGTGATAATCACTGCGTTCCAATACAACCTTCTATTTCATACATTTTGATACTAACGTTTTCATTGAGCCAAGAATTAAGACTTTCTCATTACTTTGCACATTTGTGATTCTAACTTATCCCACCGCTATGAAAATCTGCAATACATATCCAAGGCGTCACTGATATTTAGGACGAATTGGTCTTTTCCGGTACTTTTTGAGTAAAATGACTTCAACTCCTCTGAGTTTACTGTTGTAGAAGTGGTCACAAAAGGTGCATATAGATACAAAAACTGTACTAGAGGACCGGAAGAAAAAAGAACAATAAAAATGGGTTTTCATGTGTTTGCGATATGCGAAGTTTACGCCAGCAGGCGTTTATGATATGCGCCCACACGCGCTACTGGCGCGTTGCTCTTTACAGTAGGTCCCCGAAGATGCGTGAGAGTGATGTTCAGGAGATTGATAGCCGCCCCAGGTAGGTGGTACTCGGTGCAAAACATGATCTATTGCTGTGCTGATTAGTCGATCATTGTCAGCCATCATAATTTGCAAAAACTCAATGAGACGCGACATCCGACGAAACAGTTATCAACGAAAGGAGAGCTTTGTTTCCCTTCCCATAAATTTCTAAAACCGAAACAATTGATACAAACAAGTAAGAAATGATGAAATGATACCAACACCGTACTTAGTACCAACAGACGAATGCAACAACTTCACGTAACGACAAGAATGGAGAAACCTTCAAAAGTAATCACACTCAGCGACCAGAGCTTCCATACTATTAGCATAAGCAGGTTATTCATGAATTGTACCGTGATAGTATAAGAACGAGATAGACAGCCGAATGAGTGTTATATAGGCAAAAAAGAAAGTGAATAATGATGTTATGCTTGAAAAAAATCATCACGATGCCTCAGCCATTAGAGCTACTTCTTTACAATGACGTAGTCAGCGTCCGCTCGCCGTGGACGCCTTTTCTTTACTTCGCCTTCTGGAGAAGCGGGCACAGAAGATCCATTCTTAACAACTACCTTCATGATGACTGATGAAGGACGAAGAACGTACCTCGCTCGCAGAAACTTCGGATTCGCTATGACTAGCGTTATTAGCATTTCCATTGGTATCAGCCTCTTCATTCTCCTTGTCTTTGGCCTGTTTATCGACATCGTCGTTCTCCTCATCTAAAAACACAGAATTTGGAACGCAAAGATTTGAACCAAAGTTCACATTTACATACACACGTATTATAATAATTTAG